AGCCTCATTTTTTTACCCCAGTTCACAATTTATTCCTACGGATTTGGCAACTTTGATTCAGTTTTATGAAGGATCTTGTTTTATATGAGACATTAAAAAGCCCCCTCAGCTGGTATCTCTTCCACTATTAGGCCTGTCACTTTAGGAAACCACAGAATTACAGAAACTTTTCCTTACTTTTGTGAAGACAAAGGGGAGATTTAGCAAATTTCGTGCAGGTCTATGGTTGTTGCCGCGAAATCCTGTTCCAAAACTACCGAATGGCAGAGGATTACACAAATAGGCTTTTTTTTGAATGAAACCCTTCCAGATACTAGTTTTTTTCCATTAGCAAGTGACCCAGAAACCTTTTTTTGCGATCGCGAGCGAATCAAACTTTAGTTACCAGCCAATCCGCAACACTCTTTGATTTTTTTTCAATTTTTTCGATTTAAGCTCGTGTTTTTTTGATAATAACAATACGCTACATTTTTTTTTTTATCAGACAACTAAGTTTAGACTGATTTTTTTCAGTATAAGATGATAAGAACGGAATTTTTTTTCAAACTCCTTTAAAGTACTCACCTTTTTTTCAAAATATAGGCGTTTCTTCTGAATTTTTTTTCTTTCCTCTGAATGTGTACGTGGTTTTTTTACTGGAACACTGCCTGAATTCTAGCATGTGAGCTCACCTTTAAAATGAGCTCACAAACGTTGTAGCCAATCAGCGGCTAAGAAGTATTTTTTTATACCGGTGCAGTGCTCTAACCGATTTTTTTAACAAGCTTAAGCCAACAAGGAGCTTTTTTTTAAAAAAGGACACAATAATCGGTTTTTTTTTGATATCACTGTTTTGCCGGGAGGGTTTTTTTTCTTCCATGATTAATCAGTTTATATTTTTTTTAAGCCAACAAGGAGCATTGTTGTTTTTTTTACACAATAATCGGTTATGCTCTGGTTTTTTTATTTTGCCGGGAGGGATAATTCTCTTTTTTTATTAATCAGTTTATAATTGACGAGTGTAGGTGTTAGTGTTCCTGAAAAGAATTTGTTTTTTTATAAATGAAATTTATGATAAAAAATTTTTTTACCGAGCCACTCACTCGTGCTCTGTTTTTTTACTTCGTCTCATCGATGGGAATCATTTTTTTGTGTTGTTTTTCTTAATTTATCACATTTATTAGTTTGGATTACATTTCTCTGTGATTTTTTTGCTTGCACTAGTGTGCATGGAACGTTTTTTTGAGACAGACCCTCCTCTATGATTATTTTTTTTTTAATTTGCCATCATACCTATTATTTTTTTGCAGAGGAAATTGAAACGGGTTTGTTTTTTTGGTGCCTTAAACATTCCAACTGGGCAGCTGCATTTAAAATTTTAAATACGGAGATTTTTTTTCATGGCCATTTATGAGCACTGCAGTTTTTTTTTTTCAGGTTCCTCGAGAGAGAAGCGCTGGTACCACGTGTTAATTTACAGTGCGATTTTTTTCACCTTAACAGCCAGTATGTGACCTTTTTTTTTCTTTGTTAAATCGATCACGGACTTTTTTTTTGACAAACAAAATTGAATTTGAGTTTTTTTAACCCAAACAAACTCGTTCCTTAATTTATGTAGCAGGCGGATCCAACACGCCGCCGACAAATGCGTAGACAAAAAGATAAAAAAGATTTTTTTGTATTCTTTCCGTTTAACGAAACCTCAATGAATGATATGCAGTTATTATAAGCTCTTTTTTTTAAATGGCTGATGAATTTATCGATTTTTTTTTTATTTCAGAGATATAATATTCCCTTTTTTTAAAAATTGTTAACGTGAGGATCCTTTTTTTTTTATATATCTTTCTTAAATGCAAATTTTTTTCAACAGTCT